CCCTGGCTCCCGGCTCAGCCGGAGCTCAGCCCCAGGGGCATGCCGGCCGTGAGAGGCGGAAGCCCGCTCCGGGGGAGGGGAGAGCCGGCCGGTCCTCCCTCACAGGGAGCCTCCCCCGCAGGCGGGCGGCGGCGACAGTCTCGGCCTCCCCTCGCGGCTCGGCGGACTGAGGGGCGGCGGCGGCGGCTGCCGGCGAGCCGAGGGCTCCGGCTGTCTGAGGTAGCGGCGGCGGCTTCTTCGGTTCCTCTTCAGCGCGCCCGGTCCGTAAACGCTGGAGAAACTGAAATTCAAACTGCTGAGGCGGCGGCTGCAGCTCCCTCCCCTCCGCCAAGATGGGGCTGAAATGGCCGCGCCAGGGATGCTGGGAGGAGCAGCAGCAAGCCCGCTGCCGCCGCCGCTGCTGCTGACTAAAATGCCGCCGCTGCCGCAGCCGCCGCCAGCGCCGCAGCCGCCGCCGTTCGGTGACGCACTGACGTCGTGACGTCACCGCCCCGCCCCCTCCGGTTTCCTGCAGTTTCCCGTGGAAGCCGGGGGGGGGGGTGGCGGTGGGCGGGGCTAAAGGTTAAAGGGGGTGGTATTTTATTTAAAATATTTTTAAATTTAAGTTTTGTGGTGAAAGTTCAGTAAGAGTTGAAAAACTGAAGACAGTTTTAAATTCTAAACTAGGGAAGCTTACAACCGCGCTAATGAACTGTTTTTATACCGGTTTGTCCGAGACACTGGAAGACTGGAGGTCATGGGCTGTGTCCAATGTTTGGCAAGCTCTTAGAGAAAGAAAGGCGATAGGAGAGGAGATGAGGGGGTCTTAAATGGGATAAGGAGGGATACGGCTAGAGAAATCGAATTACTTAAGAGTTCTTGAAAGTGAACGGTAACCACTATAGTTAAGGAAGTGAAATGTTGAGAGAAACACGATGATTAACCAAGAACAGTTAGCCAGGTTGAATCATAAAAATGATCTTTCAGCCAGAATTCTGTCTCCAACAGTGGCATCAGGGGATGGTAACTTGCCCAGGGTGAAGTCAGTTTATAAAATGATTCGGAGTTACTAATATATTCCCAGTTCTGAATTTGCTGTGATTCCAGGATGGAAGAGTTCATTTAAACTCTTGAGACTGTTTTCTACTTTCAGCACGAAATCAGCTTATATGCTCCATAAATGTAGAACCTAATGTGCTAAATAGTTATCGTTCTTTGTTTTGTTTATTCCAAGACTCTTGGTAGGAGCCAGGGTGTTATGTGGTTTGGATTGGGCCGTGAACAACCATAAAGGTCAGAGAGCACCCTTTCCTGTCCTAGTACAGAGAGCAGCTATGAAAGTACTGATGAATTTATCATCAGGTAGCTACTTTCCAGCAAAAGAAAATGCTAAGGCCATTCTTTTTTTTTTTTTGGTTTTTCTCCGGTACCGGGAACCGAACTCACGACCTTGTGCTTGCCAGGCAGGCGCTTTTTGCCGCTGAGCTAAATCCCCAGCCCCTAAGGCCATTCTTTTAAACAGTGGAGACTCATGACGTACTAGTCTTGATCTAGGTAAAATCTAAGTCTTGATGGAAACAGATTTCGTATCTATTGCAGCTTTAGAAATCACATCAAAACTTAATCAGTAAAATCTTCTACTTAGTTCTCTAATCTTTGAACAATAGAACATTTTTTTTTATCCCAAAAGACGTTTTGAGAATTAAAATTTGCCCTGGATTTTTAGGTCCTTACTTGTGTTTTATTGAGGCGTGTCTTTTAAGCTCAGTAGAAATCATGTCCTTCAAAGCAAACAAGACCACATAACACCCCTATTTCTTAAAGAGCTGGGAGAGGAAAGAAGCAAAATGCAACATTATGCAGGGATGTTACATAAGGGATAGCTAATGGAATGTTTTATTTCTAAATCTGTTACTTCAGTAATTGTTAGAGAAAATTTTCCATCAATAAGTTAAAGCAACTTGTTAAGTCCAATATGAATTTATAAAAGTTTAATTTAATTTAGAATTGATCTACCAGATTGCTAAAAGTGATTATCCACGTTGACCATGAAGCATTTGGAAAAATCAACGTCTTATTGCTTGTAAACCCATTATATTACCTTATTACATAAACGTCTTGATCATTTGTCCTGATACTCTTAAATCACCTATTCAAAGGGGGAAAAGAAGTAATCTGAAAGGCCATTTCTCCTTAAAGAATACGTAATGGATTTATTATGAAATGAAAATAAAGATAAAGCTAATTTAAAAGAAATTAAGAGGTGAGCTAAATTTCTGGTACTGAGGAAGTGAAAGATATAAAAAAAAAACAAAAAACAGTTTAGGGCAAGGAGATAGCTCAGTGGCATAGCACCCCCCTGGCAAGCTCAAGTTTGATTTCCAGTAACAAAAAAAAGTTTATGTTCATAAAATTAAAATATTTCATTAAGATGTTTAGAGATTTCTGTGTTTAAACTGATAAAATAGTCCTCTTAAAAGTAATATTTTCGGGGGCTGGGGATTTAGCTCAGTGGCAAAAGCGCCTGCCTGGCAAGCACAAGGTCGTGAGTTCAGTTCCTGGTACCAGAGAAAAACCAAAAAAAAAAAAAAAAAAAAAAAGTAATATTTTCCAAAGTTAAAAACCCTAGTTTCTTTTGCATATTTGCCCTTAAAAAATGTAAAACTCAGAAAAACTGAGACAGAGAGATCACTTGAGTCCAGGAGTCTCAGGCCAGCCTGGGCAACATAATGAGACCCTGTGTCTTAATAAATGAACACTCTTGGCAAAAGAAAAGTAAAGAATTTTATAAACTGTTACGAAGAATTTATAAGAATTCTGGTTATTATAATGACTGAAATCATTGTACAGAGGACAAATATTATATAACAGTCTCTAATCAACAAAAAAGGTGTATAATTCATACTTGACCCACAAAGAATTAAAAACCTTCAAGTAACTAATTAAAATGATAGTATTGTACCTTTCTTTCAGCTAGAAATTCTGTCTCCAGCAATAGTATCAGGATGCTTACTTGCTCAGGGTGAAGTCAGGTTAAAACAAGATTCAGAGGGGGCTGGGTATTTAGCTCAGCGGCACAGCGCCTGCCTGGCAAGCTCGAGGCCCTGAGTTCGATTCCCAGTATTAGGGAAAAAAAAAAAAAAAAAGATTCAGAGTTATTACCATATTCCCAATTCTGAATTTGCTGTGATTCCAGAATGAAGAATTCATTTAGCTCTTACATGTAAGTACCTTTACTGTGTGTGTGTAAGTTTGTTAATAACTAATGTGGTACCCTAATTTATCGGAACTAGAGCAGTCCCTGGAGACCCAAATCTTATGGCTAGTGCCCTTAATGAGTTATCCTGGCTTCATGCCTGCACCCACGGACCTTACATGGAGGCTTACTATTCCCAGAGCTCCCAAATTGACCATTTCTCCTACATTCTGTATTTCCCTCAGAAACATTAAATTGCAGCTGTGTATGCCATGTACATTTAGAAAAAAACAACATAAGAAGGGGGAGACACTTAAAAAGTAAGGACTATTTTCACTGAAGAAAAAACACTGTTGCAGAAAAATCTTTTGACCATTTGTAAACATCACACTCCTAAGTTCTACTAGGTCATTATCTAACCGTATCAGTATCAGTGAATTATTTCATGGTCGTCAGATCCTGAAATGTGAGCCACAGATCAGCAAGAGCACCTGATGCCCACTTCCATGATTTATGTTATATTTAAAATAACAATGATACATTAATCTAAACATGCAGAAAAAGATAATTTCAGTAGAAATTAACTGTCTAGATTGAGAAAAGTAACCCTTTAGCTTTCTTTATCAAACACTGACATTTACTGTACATTTTCTGGGTATATTAGTAGTTAGGCAATCTGTATCTCCATTATCGGGGTTCGCTGGCTTTTACAAATAGCTTATTTTTTAGCCAGGTGTGGTGGTCCATGCGTGTAATCCCAGTATTCTGAGAGTCTGAGGTACGAGGCTTGCAAGTTTAAGCCTAGCCTGGGTAATTTAGTGACTTACCCAGACTCTGTGTCAAATAAAATTTTAAAAAGGGCTGGGGATGTAATTCAGTGTAAAAGCCATGGACTCAACCCAGTACTCTTCCCCCCTCAAAAGAACTTATTTTTACTTTCTCTTTTTCATCACTAAATTATTAGAAAAATGCAAAATGGAGTTGCTTTCAGGTTCTGAAACGCACTTGTGAGAAATAAATATCAGTTGTCTAAACAAATAGTCTTTGATTTATTATTGTGATTTTCCTGGAGTTCCACTTCTGGAACAATATCTTATTAATAAACCCTTGAAGCAGAGATCATTGTGTAATATTATTCCAAAAGGAAAAATAATCCAATGAGAAAGGAGTGAGGCTAACAAAATTCCATGAATACTTTTATAAAGGAAAACATAATCTGATTGAGATACACAAATTCTTACTTGAGAATGAGATATCTAAGATTTTTGCATTTAATTAAACTTCTACTAGACACACTTAAGATTTGACATTCTGTGAAATGATAGCATGATAGAATAGAATGATAGAATTCTATGAAATGTTCTTTTTTTGGAAGGATGACAGTTTCCTTGATTCCCAAGAACTTTCTAAGTTTAGGCACTTTTGTGGAAGAAAAGGGTGTATTTTGAAGTAATAATAAGTACAGTGTTCTTTTTTTTTGTGTGCCAGGAATTGAACTCAGGACCTTACACTTACCAGGCAGGCACTTATGCCGCTGGGGTATATCCCTGGCCCTCAATGTCCTATTATAGCCTGTTTTATTTCATTATGAAATTTAATGTACAATCTTATGAAACTAAAATATTAGTTCTGTGTCTCTACTATCTAGTTAGTACTTCACTCAATGTAGGGTAATATGAGTAGAAAATCTACTCGTGACTATATGTATTCTCATTTTTTTAATGTTATGTGACCACTGGTGATAAAGAAATTGGAGGGATGAGGAATGAGCACCCATTTTACTGTAAGCTTGTTTTGTGATTGCCAGAAAATCTACTAATTCTTCAGCTTCCCTATTTCTAAAAAGAAATATGGTGGGAATGTAAACTAGCACAGCCAGAGTGGAAATCAGTGTGGAGATTCCTCAGAAAGCTAAAAATAGAAATTCCATTTGACCCAACTATCCCCCTTCTAGGCATCTTTGGAAGAGTTAAAATAATATTACAGGGGTATATGTGTAGCCATGTTTATAGCCATACAATTTATAATAGCTAGATCTTGGAAACAGCAGCTAGGGAAATGTATTTCTATACAATGGAAATCTATATTGCGATAAAGAGATAAATTTGAGGCATTTGTGGGAAAAATGGATGCAATGTAGATCATAAAGTTAAGTGAAATAAGTCAAACACACAAGCTCAAATATTACATAGTTTCTCTTATACAAGACACATAAATAAAGAATAAAATAGAAGAGAGATAAGTACAAAATAAGGAGATTTCAA